TATTATCCTTCAGATACCTAAAACCTTGCTATACGTGTTGAAGTCTATTTTTCAGTCGGTAGACTTCGTAATCGACTTGTATAACAGTATATAATAGCTCTAGCATGAGTATTTTACTAAATATTACTATAATATCTAGGTTTTAGTCTATTCATAGCCTTAGAATGGGAGTCTCATGACTATATATTTTTTCACATATCATATCTATCTGTAGATTTCAAATCGATAAAATACCCTTTTCGACTAGGTTATAGGTTATATTATTTTTTTCGCTTCTCTGATACCTTTCACCAATCATAAACAAGTTCTAGAGGAATCACATAATAAATTATCAGGAGTATTTTTTTCAAATTAAACTTTTTTGGATATAGTATAATCTAACAGTTTACCACAATTTAACAGTTGATCTATAACCTCTATTTACATTATCATGTCTGCAATTATAACAAAGTACGTTACAGACCACAAACTTAATTCAAAGATGAGTAATGGAGAGCTTAATCAGTATGTATCAGAATTACTCAAGCTCTTGATGGATGAAACGAAAAGAGATAAAGGTCATTAGCATCTTAAAGATAGTTATAGTTTTAGCAAAGAGCAGATATCTATACTAGTCCTTTCTTAAAGAACTGGTTGAGCTAAAATATGAGTAAAGAGAAGTCAGAAACGAAAGTAAATATATGTTAAGTATCTGATATTATCCTAGAAGAAAAGACTATCAAAGAAACAGTTCAGCATATTATACTAGATAATCTTAGCAAAAAAGAAGTAAAAGCAATATGTAGAATCTTAGTCAAAACAGCTACTGATGCTATTATCAATTCATTATGTATATCTAGGACTCGAAGGGAATTGCAAAATCTTAATGCTTCAGAAGAAATAACCTTTGTCATGTTTGACTGAGAAACAACTTGTGCAACTAACAAAATTCAAAAGGTGTGAAATGATCAATGTGAAAATGAAGGAATCAATTTTCCAGATCACTTATCATTAGAATCAGTTAAGGAAAGACTGAATTCATATAATATGACTAATATACCTAAGAAACTGGCTCTAGTTGATGTAATGATCATGCTCTGCATTCGTCCTGCTGAAATTAAACCTTGCATATATCTAATGAAGGTGTAATTGGATATGTGAAAAATCAAGATCAACAAGATATCCCTCGAATGTTTAAATTATTAGAAAAAAATGAAAAATAGGTAAGGCAGTTACTTACTTGAATCCAGAAAGCAATATCTTCCAGAAAGTTAGGGGACCCAGGAAGTCTTAGAGCTAAATTCTTAAATAGATTTCTGAAAGAAGATGAATGTCTTTCTGAAACAGGTAAAGCCACCTCTTCCTAGCAATTTGCGTAATTTAGTGTATGCATTTGCATATGAAATACATAGAGCGAAAAATCTATCAAAAGCTTTGACCATTGCCAATGTGATACTTTAGCATAGTTTTGATAACAATGTATTTCTAACTAAGAAATATACTATAGTAAATATGCGAGCTCGCAGAATGCCTTATAATTAAGCAAAACCATTCATGTTCTCTGATGAGAGCTAAAAAATACTGCTTCAAAGAAGAATATATTTAACTCTTATTTTGTATAGTTGAATCAATATATTTCCAGCGATATTCCCTAGCATAAGAGTGAATAGCTTTACATATTACGCCAATATTTGACTTTTAATTCCAGTTGCATACTCTGCTTGCTTCTTTTAATAAAGAAAATTCTTGAATAGAGCCATCAGGAAAAATCTGTTTTACAGAATGTTTATATCTATTCTATAATTTATGAGATACTGCATATTGCATATTTTCTTTTGTGTGTATCATTCAAGATTTGAAGCTTTATTATTAGTAGGATTTTCATCAATATGATTTACATAATCCTTATCTTATTCTTTTAGATAAAAAGCTAATGCTACTAAATGGTAATTTATATATTTGTGATATTCACTACAAATTCGAAAATATCTTCTACTTAATGAGCCTTGAATAATCTTAATAATTGAACCTTACCTAAGAATAATACTTTGAATTTTTCTGATTTAATTTCTAACTTCTTCCATTCTTCATTAGGATCAGGTTTTATATAATCATTATAATATATCTAAGCCTATTCACCCGCAGTATTTCATCTTCTTCTACAATATGCAGTAATATTTCTTCTATTAATGTTAAGTGTAATATTTGCAAGTTTAGCCAAATCCCAAATCTGAATAACATTTCCATCTAATGATTTTTGTAACATTTTTTGAGATCTACCACGACTAGGATTTGAAAATACTTTATGATTAGTATTTTCTTTTAGAAATACCCATTCTAAATTATTTGCTAGATTATCAGTTTTATGATTAACAAAATGCTTATTTTTTGGATTTAAAATAAAGGCTTCTGCAACTAATCTGTGAATATTAACAGATGTATAACTATGTTCTTTGTGAATACTTCTTTCTGAAATTCTACTATATTTATTTTTAATACGTCTAATATTAGAAATGAAGTAATCTTATTCTGCTATAGCTAACCAAAATTTCATTTTTAAACATATTGTTTATTTTTTAATTTAGATTAAGGCCTCATAAAATTATTATTTATACCCACAATACATCACCATCGCAAAAAACTATATTATAATAAATATGCGAGCTCACAGAATGCTTTACAATCAAGCAAAGCCATTTAAGCTCTTCAATAAAAACTAATACCTCTTTTATTGCTTTTTTATTGCTTATCTTTTGAAATACCAAAGATGCAAAAAAGAAATTTATTATTTTTTTTAAACAAGATATAGCATATATAAAATGGTAATCAATCAAAAGCATTCATCTAATAATACAGCTATTGAGCAGGAAGTTATCAGACATATAGAAAAAATAGCCAAATTACTTGAACCTGAACAAAATGCAGATGTGTATAATGTGCTTTCTAGTGAAAATAGAATACTAAAGAAATAATTAGAAGATTATCATTCCTAATCTAATACGGTAAAAAGATTAGAAGAAGATGTGAGATCCTTAAAAATCGAATTAAAAGATTTAAATGAATGTGTAGATAGGGAGACTGTAATTGACTTAATACAAGAAATAGCTTTCTCACTAAATATTAAAAAATGTAAGAGTCTTTTCTATTCATCTGAGATTTCTAAAGATTCTGATTCAGTTGAGATAATTGAGGGATCCCAAAGGTATCAGGTAGAAAAGTTATTTCTCATAAGTAATGAAAGAAGGCATAATCAAGAAAGGTTAAACAGTTTGTAGTTTAAGTGATGAATTAGCCAATCAGGCTGAGTAATGATATACTACTACCATTCTAAAATACCAGATTGTTCTCTAATGCTTGTGAATAGATTAATTTTTTTATTTTAGATATTATATATAAAGTTTTTTATCTATTATTATACTAACTTAAACTTTTGAATTATTCCTTCTTATATAAAAAATATGCAATCTACTGATTCATTAAAAGAATTAAATGCCAAGCTCTTAGTTAAGATTGCTGAGCTTAAAAAGGAGAATGCTGAAATTCTTGACCTTAGAAAGGAGAATGCTAATATACCTGATCTTAAAAGGAAGTTCGCTGAGATTGAGAGAGAGCTGAACTTAAATTTAGAAATGTTGAGTTTGTCAAGCTTAAGGCTGAATTTATAAATTTTATCAAAAAATATTATGCTGATTTTGAGATCCATATAGTAAAATTAAAGTATTTTAGTTTGGAATAGCCAGATCATTTTGAGAGTATTGAGACTATAATTATTGAGATCAAGGCTCAGAATGCAAAAAATAAATCAATTATAAAAGAATATGAAAAAAAATTAGAATGCAAGAAAATTGCAAATTCTAAACTAGATGCATTCAGATAGCTAAGAAAATTCTTAATGACGAACCTATGATTGAATACCGCCCTCCTTTCTTGAATGGATTAGAGCTTAATGTCTTCTTTTAAAAATATCAAATTGCATTAGAGATGTAAGGGGCTCAACATAGGTTTTATAGTACTAGTTGGTATAAAAATGTCAAAAAACTCAAGAACATAATTAATTGTAATTGGCAAAAAAAAATGCATTTGTCTAGATTATGGAATTTTCCTTATTGAGATATTGATCAAAATCCAGAAATTGTTATTTCAGAAAGGATACAAAAAATTAAGAAATTCGTTAATAAAGCATCCAAAGTTTTGACTTCCTATAATCAATAACTTATAATACATGTAACTCTACATTTAATTAGCAGATAAATATATTGCAGATGTCATTCTTAGAATACAGGAGCGTCCCTTCTAAGCAATACAAAAATGATATATTTTTTTATTGAATATGAACAATTAGCATAAGCAGTATACAAGTATAAAAACTTCATCATGTACAGCAGGTTTGCTTTTGAAAACCTCTCACTCACATATATAGTATTATCATTTATCATCTAATATAGTAGGTATGTCAATCGTCTGATGGCACATGATCAGCTAATCATATATGACAGATGCATAAATACAAGCATAAAGAAAGTCTATATTTGGTGATCATTATTACACAATAATTTATATGTATTTTACAATAAGATTCAATTAAAAAATGATTATCCACATGACGATTCATAAAAATTATTAAATAATCAGTAATGAAATTTTGCAGAGATATTCTTTAAAGATGTTTCTTTCAATTGAGCTAATAAGATCTAATGAGATTTAATGTTTTAGAGAGTTTTATAAGAAGAATTTTCTTTACTTATAGCAATTGGCCAAATTTGTGGTTACCATTGATCAAATCTCAAATAAAAAAAAAGAAAATTATTTAAAACAATTATTTTAAATAAAATATAACGTTTAATTTTTTATTGACATAAATGAATTTGTTATTTTACCAATAATTAACATTATTAAGTATATTTAAAAATTCTATATGTAATCCCTGGCTTCTATTTGTTTCTATTTCTTCCACTGCTTCATTTTCTTCTATCAGAACTTCTTCATCCTTTTCTTCTGAAGTAAGAATGTTTAGACCCCTTTCTAATCATTCTAAAAAAGAGTTCACATTGTTATAAATTTCATGTTTATAATATTCTTCACAATGCTGGCAACCATACTCTATCATTTGATAACATTCAAAATGATAACTATATTCACAGATCAATACTTCACCTTCATCAAGTTTTTTGTGATAATGATCATAAGTATCTGATGATGGAGGTATATTAGTGCTATAACCTGTTGGAAGACATCTTAGATCAACAGTTTCAGATAAATAATTCATATTATGATGTTTTCTTTTTCTTGATTTATTAATTGGTTTACTTTTTTCACGATTTTAAAAACTTTTTGAAAATAATCTAACAAAAATAACATGTTTTTTCTATCAGCAGGTTTAATAATGATGGCTTGTAAGGATATGCTTTTGTTTTTTCAAAGGTATCTTTAAGTTCACAATAATTTTGTGCGTCTATATAGTGAATCATATAGAAGGTTTGCTAGAAAAATGAGGCTCTAAGCATTTTTTATTAAAATTTTAATATATATTGCATTTTAATCTAACATTATCAAAAATTAAAATGCAATTAAAATTAAAATTTTAATAAATTTCTCAGAGCCCAATTTTCCTAGCAAACCTCTCATATGACTGTATGAAAATCAATAATATTATAAGAAAAAATTGGGAAGTTAAGACAAATACCAATCACATAAGCTTATCTAATAATATTATTCTATTAAATAAAAAAAATTAATTAGTTTTATAAATTTTATAAATAAATAAAATAATATTATTGATTATAATTACTTACTGTTAATTACTATATTTTCATTATCTATTTCTATAAGAGAAGTTTTAACTTCTGGTTACGATCACATTCAACTATATTCATGTAATGAACATGACACAGTTATTGTCCAATTTTTAAGTATGCATATGATTTATAACTTCCTTTTTTCGTATGCCAATGAAGTAAATTGACGAACATGGGCCATAATTTTTTCCCAATAGATAAACCATAACGTGATTTGTAATACGCGTAATCACGTGTTATTTATTTAGCCAATCATAATATTGTGACACGCGTTGATCGTTAACCAATATAAACAAACTTTCTCTATGAATACACTTTTCTGTATGGCCAGAATAAATAAAATAAACCGATACTTTAACCAAGCAGAACCCTAATAACCACTATCGCAGTTTCGGTTTACTAAGAAAACTTAGTAATAACTGCTATTGCTCATACCGATTGGAATATTTTAGATTTTTTGGAAGAAAATAAAGAGGAATCTTTTCGAGTACTTATATATTCGTATTTAAGGTATCTTAATCATATTATTCAAAGTGAGCACGTAAGTAAGAAAGAAAAGGCAAAGCTACTTATAAATAAATATAAAAAGGTAATATTTTCGTTCAATCCACGTTTGTTCAATCCACAAAATCAGTGTTAGGGCATCAGGTAACCTACGCGCTTGTCTGATGTTTAAGTCTACGAGCCTTACCTAGCACTGGTCCGTCGGGGCACAGATAACCTACGCGCTTGTCTGTTGTTAAAGCCTACGTGCCGAACCGACGTAGTTACGGGATGAAAATCAGTAACAATCATATGATTGGAACATTAATTACCTCTATTCTTTTTTTTTTTGTTAAGGGCACACGTTCCGATTATCATCTGGCAAAGAGTTGGAACCATTTGCGAAAATTTAACATGAGTGAAATTCCGAATACCGAGATTAACATCCAAAGTGTTTGGTACAATGAAATTCAAGGTAATGCTGTAACAATTTCGACCCAAGGAAGTGCTAAAAACGTTCAAGATTCTATGGGAAAAGGACTCGATGATAACAAGAAAAGTAAGTAATATCAACACAAGGAGCGAAGCATGACATACTAAAGGTATCTATGTGAAATTTTAGAATAAAACTACAACCCCGGAACAACAAATATATCCGCCAGAGCGAAATAAGGAAGATGCTAAGGAAAAAGAAGATCAATCTATTTTTTTGGTAGGCTCTAATTCATCCCATTTGGTATAAAGTTCGATTTACCTCATCCACAGTGTTGTAGTTCAGCAGGAATCGGAAGAATCGGTAGTGAACTTGCCGGTATTCTTTTTTTGTTTTGGTATTTATGTTCTTCACAGAAATCTGGATATTCATTAAACCTTGATCTTGTAGCAAAAACAAATTGACATAACACCTAAGAGGAAATTAGATGATGTTGAGGAAGATGATGACATCTACGACAATTTTGAAATTGTTATCAGCGATATTATCCTCATTGTGAGAAAAACAGATGTTCGCGTAAAAATGGAAGAGTGGCGTAAAAAATCTGACTACATTTCAGAAATCCACAAGCAAGAGTATGTCTGTCAATAACGTCCTCATATATTATTACCTAAGAATTATTTTAATCGGTAACTTTATTTTACAGTCTGTTGCGCTACAACATTAATTGATACCATTAGTTCATCGGCAACAAACGCACGGTGTCTTTTTGAAGATATTTGGGATACTATGGTTATTGCTATGGAAGAGGTGACTTCGATTTCAATAACAAAAGATGATAAAATAAAAAATTGTGCCAAAGAATCTTCATGGATGTGGTAAGCAGATTTTATTTTGAAATATTGAGCACGGCTTTGTTGAATACTGATTTTGTTTTTTACTATTAGAACTCACTCGAAAAATACGGGAAGCAATTAAGTCAAATCGTCTCACATTGAGGACAAGTGGTAATGCTCGATGGAAGAGACAAATTATAAAAATGTCGAAGATTTTGTAAGTATATTTATGTTACAATAAACTCTATGATATGTTTTTTAACTCTGGTAATTTACAGCCGTGATCAATTTGAGAATGGAAAAAATTCCTTCAAAGAGAAACAGCGGAATACCAATATATAATCAGCTTTATTGCTCCGATATGCAAAATTCTGTTTAAGGATCTTCTACATTTGAGTTTCGATTGGTAAGTCTCAGCATATTTAGTTTATTTCTTATTGTTATTTTTTATTCAAAGCTTATTTACTTTAATATAATAGGGGTGAAACGGCATTGAAGTGTTCGTCAATCCTTTTAAACAAGTCTCAACGAGATGATGATCGCCGTAGTCCCAGCAGTAAGATCGATACTATAATTAAGTTGATGGAATTGAACCTTGAATTTTCTGTCGTGGAGGTCTCCGGGTCTCCATCAAGCCCCGATCATTCTCATTATATCGGAGACCGTAATAAGACAGCGAAAAATCTAAAAATTATTTTAAATTTTATTAGAACAAGATATTATGGGGATTTCCAAGAATTTCGCAAGATTAAAGTGTATGGAGTACAAATTTATCCTTATCAGACAAGTTTTCGAATGCCAATTTCCGAATATACCGTTTCCCGAAGTAAAATTTCCCGAACTGGACATTTTACTGAAACATCCGAATTCCCGAATGCCAATATCCCGAAATCCAATTTCCTGAGTAGTCATTTCCCGAATTCTAATTTCCCGAATCCCGAATTCTGACATCCCGAACACCCAATATTCTGAATCCCAATATTTCAAATGACAATTTCCCGAATCCCTATATCCCGAATGGATAATTTCCCGATATTTATAGCAATAGAGCAAATATTATAAGATATAGCTCTCTTTGGTAATAGATTACAATAAAAATTTTGGACATGGATGTTTACATACTTGGGCAACGTTTAAGACCATTCGGTATATAAGGATTCGGAAATATGTATATTCGACTTGGTATATTGTGACATTTGGGATATCAGAATTCGGGAAATTGGATGTAAAATGGATGTTTCTTGCAATTCGGGAAATTAGGTTTCAGGAAATTGGTGTTCGGGTAATTGGATATTTCGGTAAAAGGTCCAGTTCGGGAAATTGTCGTTCGGAAAATATGACTTCAGGAAAAGGTATATTCGGAAAATTAGCTTTTGGGCAATTGTGGTATAATCCAAATTTATAGTAAGTAGTATGAGTTGGACAAAGTTGTATATTAAAACATATATTAATCACATGATTTTGTTATGTCTATAGATAATATTTTTTATATATACAGCTTATCATTACCTTTTTCCAAAGTTTATTATTTCAAGCAAGAATTTATGTTTGATTGTTCAACAATTACCTTATTTACTTTTAAAGCATTACCGAAATTCTTAGACAACTTATGGAGAATATGAGTAGATATTTGACATTTTTGAGAATGTTAGTGTATTTAACGCAACTGATACTAATAATTTGAATTTATAGGAAATTATTTCTTTAAGTGCTGAAAGTATCACTTCATATATCAAAAATATGAGAGAATCAGATGATAATAGAAATGATACTGATCTGGTAATAATCTCGCTGAAAAAACAAAGACGACAAAAGTAGATAATCAGAAATTTTATTGGTTAATGTTATTATGTATTAATTTATTTTTATATTAGATTAATATTACAATAGATCTTGATGCTTATCAAGTAAATGCATCTCAAAGACTTGTAATAAAAGAAATATTTGGTAAAATAGAATATTTTATTACTAATGAATATAATGGAATAAGTCGTATATTTGTTTATATTAGAAAAGTAAATAAATACAATGAAGATGATTATGAGCAAATATATTTAAATAAATTTAATAATTTTCAATTTATTGAGGTTATTGGTATAGATCGATGTATAGGATTTTTTAAAATAGATAATTTATTTATATTTTTGATAGAGAAAAAATTTAATCAAATTTTTTTTTTTTTTTTTAAATATTATGTAATTTAAATAAATAACTAACAAATTAAAGTTATAAAAGTATGCTTTAACCTATAATTGTTGATCCTAAACACTATCATGTAGATGTGTTTTTAAATATCTCACTTTTCACGTGATCATTAGGTTAGCCAATCATAATAAAGAAGTAAAATAATTAGAGTTGAACCTCACGGTAATGTTTTAACAATATATTCATTATATAGTATACCAAGTATCATATCCAAATTTGATATATGATAATAAGTTTAGGGAATAATGTAAAACAAATGAATATAAATAATAAATATCTAATAAATTAAAGTTACAAAAGAATGCTTGCTTTTAGCCAGATATAAATTAACCTATAACTGTTGATCTTGAACACCACTTAAAGGTGGCAAATTTCATTCAGGTTTTTTAACGGAATTCAGAAAAAAATTTATAAAAAAAACTAAGTGAAAAGGTATAAGCGAAGATAATAGAAAAGATAAAGGAAAAAAAGACTAGTTAAAATTATGAAATATGAAAAAAAAATAAAAGTAGTTGAAAAAAAAGTGAAAATAGTTGGAAAGATAGATTATTAAGGGTTATGTTGGGTTTCAGATTGAGAGGATTGAGAGGGATGGTTATTTTGAGTTTCAGATAGAGAGGATTGAGAGGATTCTAATAAATTTAAATTTAAATTTAGGTTAAAATAATATTGATATTAATTGAATAAATTTCTTACCTTAAGATTTTTCTTCTAATTTCACACGCCTTCTTTCTTATATACTTGATACTAAATAACATAAATATTTAAATTTAATAATAATTTTCTTCAATTAAATATCAATTGAAAAGTTTTATTATTCCAACCTGATCTCTTCCAAAATGGGGTTTTGAATTGTTTCCCAAAAACTTCTCCAACATGAGTCTACCTTCCATTCTCGTCTCCATCAGTATACTTTTCAAATAACTAAAAAATTAAAATTATTAAAATATTATTGTAAATACAAATAAGATAAATATTATTATTCTTTCGTTTACTAATACTTTACTTATTTTACAATCCCTGACCATTCCTTTAAATTTTTCTCTCGCTTGCAATCTATTGAACGCAGTTATAAACCTTTCTTGTATCGATGCCACAATTTTATTCCAAAAAGTCAACTTTGATCTTCTGAACCTTCTCCAGTAATCATCATTCCTTTCCCTCCTTAATCAATCAAAAGTTGCATTTCTTCATCAGACCATTCGATAGTAACAAGCATTTTTGAAATTTTAAAATTATTATTTGAGAAAAATTTAAAAATTGTCAATGTAAAAGATTGAACAATTACAGAAATAAAACGCGATAAAACCTTTCTTATATAAAATTGTATTAAAACATATCAGCGATCAATGTATTCAATAAGTTGGCAAAATATTAATTTTTATGTAAAAGTCAAATAAATGATTTAATTTTTTAGCAATTTTAAAATTTACGCAGTTTTCGCAATTGAAATTTTCAGCAATTTCAAATTTGAATTATAGAAATTAAATAAATTGAATCAATGAATTAATTACCACTGATTTAACACTGATTAATCCTAGGTTCACCACTAATTAACCCAAGGTTCAACACTAATTAATCCCTATAGAAATTTATTAAATATATGGAAGTTTTTTAAATTATTAATTTAAATTTTA